TTACAGAGCAGGCCTTGTAAGAATCGTACTTTTTTTATCTGCATGAGGCTTTGTGGGTACGATAAATTAATTCCTGAAAGGAGGTTACTTTCCCGACTCAATTAGAATCATTGTGCACCCCTTCTCCGTTAAAATGTTAGAAGTGAATTGACATGAATTAACTGTTCTAAAAAGAGTGCAGTAGAAATCAGAGATTGAATTTGGTTGGAAATTAGCAGCCGAGAGATGGAAGGTGCCAGCATTTTTATTTAAATGTGGTACAACAAGATTCTGTCAGTAAAGCACATCATTAGAATATTGAGTTTAGAACTGCTAATTTTTCCTTTAAAATGAGCATACAGTCATGTGTTTCGTGGACCATAATAAATAGCTATTGTGTTGCCATTGAGTTTGTTTTCCTCCTTATTTATTTTTCAGTACTAGTTTGGCAGTCACTGTGCATTTCTCTCCTCCTCCCCTCCCTCCCCAAATCTTCTAGTTCTATAATAGACCCCTCACCAAAACCAGTCAAAAGAATGTTATTTATTTCTTGCAGTCTTGGTTTTAGCATTTTTGCACCGTTTTCTTGCTTACGGTAGCAAGACGTTTGCAGATGGTTCTTGGTTACTATAGAGTACGTAACAGTATTTCCTTTGTGGCAGATGGAATTAAGACTTTTAGTTCTCAATAAATGTAGGTTTACAATACATAACTTTGCAGGATTTGTGTTGTATATAACAGGTTTGAACATATTATCTCGGAATTCATCTGCATGGCATTTTCAGCTTATTCAGGGTCTTGCCAGTTTTTTTAAGTAATAAGCGAGGCTGTGATTGATAGCAACATCTCAAGGCGTGATTTTGAATAGAAACAAAAGGTTTCGAACAGAAGGTGTCAAATTAAACTTTGTCAGTTTGAAAAGTAGTAGCATCCTGAAAGTTGTACTGATTTATTTACATGTGGCTACTGTTTATATTTTGCCCTCTTTATATGCAGTGTAATGTTGCTTGGCAAATTTACTACAGTTTAAAGTTTAGGTTGTTCCTTGTACCATTTTGGTTTTCCTGAGAACGGATCAGTCTCATTATTTTAAGACTGTTAGCTCCCTGTCCTTTCTACTGCTTAGAAAAGTTGTCAGCTGATGTCAGTTCCTGACTCGCGGAGGTTGGCTTTATAATCGTTCACGTCCCAAAGACTTCTCCTAAAAACCTGGACTAGATTCACATTTTTCAACAGAATGCTGTGTGTTTCCTTCCTTAGTACCTCGCTTCGCCCAAGTAAATGTACGTCTTTGTCATTGAAAGCCGGTAGACCACTTTGAGGAGTTCATCTGTTTGTCGACTACAAATGTTCTGACATGTTCGTTATCTTCCCAAGTTTCTTTCACTTCAGCAGTAACGCTGATGGAGAAGGGCTTAGGAAAAGTATTTTGAGACTTAGAAAGCATTTGGCATCTTCAGTTGCTTCATGCAAAACATGGATCAGATTACTATCATCATTAATAGAATCTCAATTGATAGACTCTCAAATAGTCAAAATATTCTAAGGTATTTAAATAGCACCAGAATAAATTAATCCTATTTTTGCCATTATAACTTGGGTATGAGCCAATTTACTTCTCTGCCGACAAAGAACTAGCATGTCAAAATGTCTGTTTTCTATTATTTTCTTAAGAGATACGCACATCAAGAAAAGCACACACTCCCTCTTTTTGTTTTTTTGGAATACCGTGCTAGAACTAACAGTTCCCAGCTGCATCATTAAATATTTTTCTAAGCAGCATCTGATTTCAGTCTCTTAAAAAATCATCGTGTGTCTTGAAAGGCTAGCAGAGACATGCTTCAACTTATAATTCATCACATTATTTTTAGATAAGGAATTAGAAGTATTATTTAAGGGCAGAGGTTAATAGCAAACTACTGGAAATGTTATGTTAGTCATGGGCAATTAATAAAAATAAGGATCTGTCTTATAAGTACAGAGGCACAGAAGTGCCAATATGAGCAAAATATTTGTTGAATGAGTCAGGGCTCACTCTCTGAAATATTTGCGAAACCAGCGTGAGTGTGATTGTTTAGGAATTAACCATCATTATTAGCCGTTTTAAAAGAACTAATGATTTTCGCTTCCAAAGAACATCTGTGATCCACATGTTTTTTCACATACATCTCAGTGCTAACTGATCTCGCCATTACTTTAAAAAGTTTCTAAAGGACTTGAAAAAAAAAGCGTTGGAATTTTCCAGCACTCTCTAAGAAGCATTTCTTCCATGAATCGTTCCTAATTTAACTTACAGCAATTTTTAGTCACAAGCATTTATCTCTACAAAAAAAGATATTTCTTAGATACTCGATGTTTTAGCATTTCCTGTTATAGTATAAGAGCAGCTAAGCGTCGTTGTTTTACGTTAAAAAAGATGTTCCGTCCTGTTCTGGGTGAAAGCTGCTAACTTCTCATGAAGGTAAGTCAGATTGTACCGTATCACTGTGTTCAGGCTACCACTGAAAAATGGCGGATAAAAAAAAAAAATAATGTCCCCCCTTAAAGAGACAAATCCGTACGTACATGTGTATGAAAGGGAGTGAAGCCTGTACGTAGATTAGAGGGTTTTGTGCATGTGAACATGAACTTCATGGGATCTTTCCCTTCTAGCCCCTAATAGAGAATTCCATCACTCCGGATATTAAGTCAGATAGTATGGTGGAAGGCCTTTATTTACAGTTCATATTCAAGCCTGTAGAAAGATTTCTATCTAAAACCTACACTGCAACATGACCGAAACATAAAATATTAAAATAAAATCTCGACGTAGGAGACTATGAAGTACCTCTGGTGGCTTAATTTGGAGAGCACTTACCAAGAAGTACTCAGTCAGCATCTCCAGGCGTCCTTTGCAAGCCAGTCTCTACTACTTCCCTCGCATTCAGTTTTTATAGTCAATATTCTAGAAATCTTTTATCATATTAGTCTGAAAATAAACATAAGGTTGCACGGCTCAAGGATACCCTTGTTCAGTAGTATAATCATACTATTTTCTTTGTAGTTATGTTTAATAATAATATTCTAAGTAAACCGTCAAGTTGCTGCCTCTTCTCTTTGCTTAAAATATGCATCCAGTGGCGTCAGGTGAGTGCATAGTTAGCCCTGTGTACATGTATTTATTTATTTAGGGGGTTGGTTGAGAATCGAAACGCCATAGCAAACAGGAGATCCGACCAGGCTTAGCAGAAGCCACCCTGGGCAGATGAGTAGGTAGCCCTTCGGAAGCTCATGTCGCCACCTCTACCCCCAGTAAGCTGTTCCAGGGGAGCAAACTTTGCCTTTCTCTGCTGTTCACTGTATTCAAAAGGAGAATCCCTCCCCCACCCCCCTCCAGTTTTAAAAGAATGGTCAGGAAACCCCATCATTCTTGGAAATCTCTCACACAACTTACACCTTCAGGCACCCAATGGAAGGGTAGCTATTAAGTCCGTTCTGACTTGACCTCAATAAGTTAAGTGTGATTCTGGATTAACCCTAAAGATTAAGAAACTATTATATTAAGACATTAACCCTAAAAGTTGGATATTAAGAAAACAGCATCCTTGCTGTTCCCTTCCAAATAATTCCCGTGAAATTTCCAAGGGGTCCTTTTGTCCTAAATTTGGATATTAAAACAGCATCCTTAAAAAAAAAACAAAAAAAACCAGCATCCTTGCTGTTCCCTTCCAAATAATTCCCGTGAAATTTCCAAGGGGTCCTTTTGTCCTAAATTGGGTTCCCCAAAAGCAGAGCCTGAATGGGAAATCAAGTGTCTGATTTGGTGAGGGTCCTGGAAGCAAAGACAAAGACAGAAGGGGTTTTAGGGGAAGGGTTCTGATGAGACCGTATCTTCGGTTAAGTTTTGGTGTGGGCTGAGGGAAGGCGAAAGAAGGTGGAGAAGGCCATGTCTAGAAAGGAGATTTAAGTGATAGAGTATCCCCTTCAAAGACCGGGGGAAGGGAGGTTAGCGGAGAGCCAGCCACTCACCACTCTCAAGTGAGCAGGAGAAGTAACTTGTGAGCATCTCCAGGTGAGTCGGCCCCAAGATGATTTCCACAGAGCTGGTAGTCCAGGCAGCTTGGCAGCTGATGGATGGAACCGGGGGCTGATGGAGGGGTTCTGGCTAGAATGTCCTCTCTTCTTTCTCAACCTGGTGTCCATCATGGCAGCCAGGAAGAAGGTTTGAGATGACATTTGGAAACGTCCTCGACTGCATCACTCTAGTGTTGATAAATAATCCCAGGACCAAAGCCTGGCCCTTGGGATGAGCCAGAGAGCCCCAAGCTGCCACATACATTGGGCATGTCCTCTGATTTATTAAGACTCTTGCCTGACAAATCATACATACACGCATACTGTTGTGGGGGGAAAAAACTACCAAAAAAATCAACAAAACAAAACACACAAGACTTCAGGGTATTTAGGTGATTACTTGGTTTAGTTTTCATTCATTTCTGGAAGAGTCTTCTGATGCTCATTCTTCATCATAATGCCTTCCATTGGACATTTTTTTACTCACACAATTACACATAACCTTTGTGTCTTTTTACTATATACATGCATGTACACACATGCACACATTTAGTTCATTTTCCTTTCTAACAGGAAAGTACTCTTAGAGAATCTTTCTAGTGAGAAAAAAACCCTTATTTCTAAAATCTGTCTTACTCTTTTTTAAATACCTCTCAGATGGCCATTCATCAGAAAGTACCAAAAGCACACTCAAAGTCACTTTTCCTCTCAGTCTATATAATCCAGTGTCCATGGTAAAGACTGTCTTACCCTTGGAGTTTGAAAAATAATGTCCCTCCTTAAAGAGACAAATCTGTACATACATGTATATGAAAGAGTGAACCTGTAAGTAGATTAGAGGGTTTTGTGCATGTGAACATGAACTTCATGGGATCTCTCCCTTCTAGCCCCTAATAGAGAATTCCATCACTCCACCCTTTCACCCTGTACACATGGACTGACCCGCTTTGCTTTGCCCTGTCTCTTAGGGATGGTTGTGTGAGCTGTTGCGCTGGAAGGAGGACCCTTCTCCCGAGAACAGGACCCTCTGGGAGAACCTGTCTATGATCCGGAGGTTCCTCAGCCTTCCCCAGCCAGAGCGGGATGCCATCTATGAGCAGGAGAGCAATGCGGTCCATCACCATGGCGACAGGCCGCCCCACATCATCCACGTGCCCACGGAGCAGATGCAGGTCCGTGTCCCTGGCCAGCCCCGCGCAGCCTTGAGTGAGCAAAACACTGACCTTGGCAGGAACACGAGAGTCTCTCTCTCCTTCCCTTTGGTCTGTGCAGAGGCCTTTTAGCGAGAGACTGTCAGCTGCCGCTTTTTCATCATTGAGAGTTGAGCTTCATGTCCTCTCACTCAGTTCCCTGCTCTCAGCACCCTTTGTACACGCTGTTCCGTGATTGCGGTCTTTTTTAGTGTGGGGTTTCTTATGTTGTGAGAGTTTAACATTTGTCGTTTTTAGAAACCTGAATTGAAAACATCCGTTTTTCACTGACCACCCTCCTGCACCTCATGGGGGCAGTGGTTATGCCTGAGGAGAGTTTTGGGCGATTCACCTGGGCGTCCAGCCGTCGAGCAGTGGGGTGGGGAACTCACGTGCAGTCTCTCCCATGAGTGGCCCTGCATCTTGTTGGATCCTCACAAGAGAGATGGGGTAGGGGTGAGTCACGTCTGTTTGTCTTTCCTTTAGAGCCCCTCTCCCACCACCCTTGGGAAAGGAGAGTCTAGAGGTGGTTTCTTACCTGGCCTGCCGACCCCTGCACCATGGCTGGGTGCTGCTCCTCAGGTGAGCCAGCACCTCAGGGAGACCGGGGGTGGCATCACGACCTGCTCTGCTCGTTTGACCAGGATTTCCAGAGGGCGTGCTGACCACGGCTGAGGCCAGGGGCCAGCATGCCAGCAGACCCCACCCTCTGCTTAGCTTGTCCTGGGCCCAGTCAGCCCCAGAGGGAACTCTGATGAATTGATACTTGAGAAGCTGTGCAATCTGGTAGTTCCTTGGTGCCACCATGGCCTTAGTTACTTAAGAAATGTATCGTAACCCATCCAGAGCTCTAGACCTTTTTCCTGTGCATTCCAAGAGAATGTGTTTTTGCTTCCTTCTTGAAGAGAAAAATGCTAGAATCTTAAGATTTTACTGTCTTTTTTGGCCTCACCTACGTTATTTCTTAAAATTGCTTTGGGGGGGTGGGGTGGAATGCATATATGTATATGACTAAAAACAATAAGAGGTACCAGGGGGAGAAATGTCCTTGACTGTGTATTAGAGATAAAGCACATTGAAAAAAGAGACTCCCTTAGGATATCAAGCACTAAAATCTGCATGAAAACCTGAAAAATTTATGGTTTAGCAAAAACAAAAAAAGAAGAGAGAGAGATGTTAAGTAAAAAATAATACTTGTTTGAAAATGTGAATTGTTTTTAATAGAATTGCTTCTTAGGGGGATAAAAGAAGATGGGTAGGCACCGTGTAAGCGTTCTAATATTTTGCCACTTACTCCGGGTGTTTTGCCTTTGCTGCAAAGAGTTTGGATTCAGCACGTGTAGTTCATGCCTGTGTCAGTCACCTGGGTTATGTGGAATAGTGTGTAGAGGAAAAAAAGTGTCCATATACACGAAACATTAAATCCTTGCCACACCTGAGCTTGCTGTAACAGTCCCCTCTTATCTAATGGGTTGAACCTTTTTTTTTTTTTAATAAGGAAAACGCTTTCATTGTCAGTCCAGTATGTTTTGGCAAGAAATTTTGCGTATATTCCATTGAATGATGTGCTAGGAAATTGACCAACTCCAAACTCTCATGAATGGCCTGGGCTAGTAGACCCAAGTCCTGACTAAGAGCAAATAAATGTGTACCTGTTTTTTTGTTTTTTGGAATGTAAACGTGGCTTTGTATTCTTCTTTTTTAATTTTTTTTTTTAAATTTTATTATTTATGTGTGTACCATCAAATCAGATCTGACTGGTACAGAAGGAGATTGTCCCTCCTTCCCCCGCAGAGCATCTGGGTGGATTTGAACCATGAGCCTCTGAGATTGTAGTGCAGCTTCTTGACACTAGGCCACCAGAGCTCCCCGGCTTTGTATTCTTGCTGTGTGTTTTGGCCTTCAGAGGAGCTGGGATAAAACAGCCTTCTCACCCTACAGCTCTCTGCCCCCCACCTTTCTAAGAGGGCTTTGAGATTCTGAATTCCCTGTCTTTGGTTGAATAATAATAATTATTATTATTATTATTAAACAAAGTTGTGAGCTTTGCTGGCTGCGTCCTTGTGGCAGAGTCCCGTGGAGAAGTCCACGGCTCATATTCTCAGAGCATTAGTCAGGTCCTGGCTTCTGCGAGCTGGACCGAGCACCCAGGGGGGCAGGTGGCTGGAGCCCTCGGAATCTTGTGTATTCACCCGTTCTCCTTGCTGTCGTTCTGTCCCGTTTTCTCGTCCTGGTGCTCTGGGCCACTTGGCTGGCCTGCCCTTTGCGCGTGAGCCTCTGTGCCTGCAGGTGGGCCTCTGTCCCTGCGGGCGGGCCTCTGTCCCTGCAGGCGGAGCTGCCCGTGGGTGGCCCGGCTGGCAGCGCGGAGCAGACATTGACTGTCCCTTGCTTCCCTTGCAGCAGCAGCAGCAGCAGCCCCCGCCGCCCCC